AGCTGCCCTCACTGCAGAGACCCCGGTTCCTGTGTAGGTGTGCAGGGATCAACCAGCTGAGGGAAGGACCCGGATTGTTCCCTCTGGGTGCCTCCCACACCTTGCACAGCCTTGGAGAAGCAGAGACAACCCAGACCTGAGGATGCTTTCTGTGGTGAATTTGATGAGGACATGTGGAAGGCCGGAAGCATTTGGAGATGGCCTCCCTACATCAGTCAAATCTGCTTTACAACCTTCGGTGTTGGGGCTTGGTCACTCCTAACAGGAGAATTCTCCCCAAGGAGGGGCCAGAGGAGCTGGGCTCAGGGTATTGGGGTTCAGAGGGGTGCCTGCATTAAAGCAGCTCAGACTTGCCCTGGGTGGCCACGCTGGCCTTAGGCTGCCTCAGGTTTGAGCCTGGGCTCAGGCACTGAGGAGGTCTGGGCACACCCCATGGTGTGAATTCACCTGGGCACCCCGTGGATTCACTGGGGCACCCCATGGATTCACCTGGGCACCCCATGGATTCACCTGGGCACCTCATGGATTCACCTGGGCACCCCATGGATTCACCTGGGCACCTCATGGATTCACCGGGGCACCCCATGGATTCACCTGGGCACCCCATGGATTCACCTGGGCAACCTATGGATTCACCAGGGCACCCCGTGGATTCACTGGGGCACCCCGTGGAGTCACTGGGGCACCTCCCTTAATTCCATTTCTCAGCAGCCATGGAAGGGTAACAGCTCTCCCCTCTGTGAGCAATGAAGGGATTTTCAAGTTCCCCAGGAGCTCCCCAGCACCAGAGCAGCTTCAGGTGACAGAACTAAAACTCTTTGCCAAGCTCACAGTCCGTGGGCTCTCCTAAGGGAGTTGTCAAATGAGCTGTGGGCACTCACACCTTGGTAGCTGGAGGAAATGATTCCCGCAGGGTGTAAGATGGGATTTTTAGGGGTGCTTCTCCCTTTCCATCGCTGCCTTCCTCCTATGCTGCTCTCCTGTCAACTGCCTGTCCGCAGCTGCAGGGATCCCTTCAGTTCCCGTGTGCTCCTCCTTGCTGGGATTCCTCGCTGTCCTCTGTGTGTCCTTACGGCTGGCAGCACCTTGGCTTCTTCAGGAAATGTTTGCCGAGGCTTTAGTCGGGTTTGCAGTGGGACACGGAGGAAGCACCAGGACTTTGAGGAAATTCTGCCTCGGTGGCCGTGGCTCACAGCAGTGAAATCTGCTGTGCCTGAAGGGATCTTGCTCAGAACAAACCTGTGGTGGCTGTGCCCGGGTCACTGGGCAGCCCAGGGCAGTGCCAGCTCACCCCTGCAGCTCCCCAGAGCTCTCCTGGAGTGGGAACAGTTGGGAGAAGTGGGGAGTGTGTCGGGCTGGGGTGGGGGTGCTGCTCTGTCTCCGCACCGAGCACATCAGGGAGCAGAACTGGGACTCAGCCACCACAGGTTTGTTCCCTGCCAGGACCACATCCCCGGGGACAGGTCCAGCGGCACTCACAGCATCCCTGCCAGGACCACATCCCCGGGGACAGGTCAGGCGGCACTCACCGCATCCCTGCCAGGACCACATCCCCGGGGACAGGTCCGGTGGCACTCACAGCATCCTTTCCAGGACCACATCCCCGGGGACAGGTCCAGCGGCACTCACCGCATCCCTGCCAGGACCACATCCCGAGGGACGCGCGCAAGGTGCGCACCCCACACCCACCTACAGGCACCCCCCGCCCCGGGCCCCTTCCCCGCGCCCCGCGGGATCCCCCCGAGCTCCGGCGCCGCCCCGGGCGGGCGCTGCGGGCGCGGCGCGGGTGGCTCCGCCGGGCGGGCGGGCGGCGGTGCCGGGGTGCCGGAGGCTCGGCGCGGCTCGGCGCGGTCCCGGTGATGTCAGGAGCGGCCCGGCAGCGGTGGGCGGTCCTTCCCCGGCTCCCGGCTGGGCTCGGCGCCCGCCCCTGCTCCGCGCCCGGCTCGGCGCCGCTCCGCTCCGCCCCCGGCTGGGCTCGGAGCGCGGGCAGCCCCGCGGCCCCGCTGCAGTCCCGCTCCGGCATGGTAAGGCCGTGGGCACGGGCCGGGCGGGCGGGGGCGGGCCGGGCTGCCCGGGGCGCGGCGCGCTCTCACGCTCTCCCCCGTCTCTCGCAGCGCCTCTCCGGAGCAGCGCCGGGACCCCGCCGCCTGCAGCCGCGCTCCGCCGGGCTCCGCCGCTCGCCGCGCTCCGGCATGAAGCGCCCGGCGCCGGGCGGCCGCCGCTGAGCCGCCGGCGGGACCCCCGCCCGCAGCCCCCCGCCCCCGCCCCGCTCCATGGGGCAGCGCCGCGGCCGCTGAGCGCCCACCCCGCCCCGCGCCCCCCGCGCCGCGCCCCCGCCTCGCCCCTCGCCCCTCGCCATGGGGCCGCGGCACCTGCTGCTGCCGCTGCTCCTGCTCTCCCTGCCGCTCCTGGCCCTGCTGCTGCTGCCGCCGCCCGCGCAGGCGGCCGGGCCCCCCCGCGCCAAGGGCAACCGGACCCAGGGCGCGGCGGCGCCGCGGCGGACCCCCAGACCGGGCAAGGAGCTCCTGAACCAGACGCTGGCGGGCCCGGGGGCCGCCGCCCCCACGGCGCTGCCCGGGCGCGGCAAGGGCGCGGGGGGCGGCAAGGCGGCCCCCGGGGGCGGCGGCGGCGGCGGGGGCTCGGCCCCGGCCCACGAGACGTGCTGGGGGTACTACGACGTGAGCGGGCAGTGGGACAAGGAGTTCGAGTGCAACAACAGCCTGACGGGCTTCCGCTACTGCTGCGGCACCTGCTTCTACCGCTTCTGCTGCAACAAGCGCGCCGAGAAGCTCAACCAGAGCCTGTGCCGCAACTACAAGAGCCCCGAGTGGGCCCACCCCACCACGGCCAGCGGCGCCCTGCCCGCCGACGGCGGCGACGGAGGAGACGGGGACGCCAACAAGTACGACCCGGACAAGGACAGCACCAACGCCACCGTCTACATCTCGTGCGGGGCCATCGCCTTCGTGCTCATCGCCGGCGTCTTTGCCAAGGTGGCCTACGACAAGGCGCGGCGCCCGCCCCGGGAGATGAACATTCACAGGTGCGCTCCTTCCCCTGCTGCCCCTCGGCGAGCCTTCCCCTTGGCAGAGTCTGCTCCAGGGTGTCCTAGCGCACTGCCCAGCCAAGGGCCCTCCTTTCGAGCCAAGGGCTCCCCAGCGGTGCAGCCTGTCCCAGAGTTTACCGTTGCATGGCTCCTCCAGCGATGTCACCTTTGGACTTGCTGTCCAAGGGCTCCGTTTTCACACCTCTGCCCAGGGGTTCTCCTGCCGTGCTCTCTGCCCAAGGAGTCTCCCTGTGGAACACCCACTCGGGTCTCTGTGCTTTGCTCTGGCTCTCCATGAGTTTCCCCTGCCAGCCCTTCCAAGGGTTTCCCCGGTGCCGTGACTCTCCGACGGCTGTGCCACCTGGTCAAACAATTTCCCATTGTTCTGCTGCTTCGAGGGGTCCTCCCTTGAGTCGTTTATCCGAGGGTTTCCCCCTTTGCAAGGGCTGTCCAAGCGTTCCTCTTTGCACCATCCACCACAGAGCTTTCCCTTTCCATCCTCTGCCCAGGAATTCCTCCTTCCCACGGTCCGAGCAGGGCCACCCGCACCCCTCTGGCCATCCCAGTGCCCACCCCTGCCTATCCTGGTGCCCCGTGCCTCTTCTCCCGCGGCCGCGTTTGTGGTCTCCTAACCCCGTGTTCGCCTTCAGCACCGGCTCCGCGGACAGCTCCGGGACAGCTCCCGGATAATTCCCGGACAGCTCCGGGACAGCTCCCGGATAATTCCCGGACTGTTCCCGGACAGCTCCGGGATAATTCCCGGACTGTTCCCGGACAGCTCCGGGATAATTCCCGGACAGCTGCGGGATAATTCCCGGACTGTTCCCGGCCAGCTCCGCGCTGCCCCGCTCTGCCCAGACTCCGTCCCGGAGCTCCGTGCGCAGCCGCCCCCGGCACCCCCCGGCATTCCCCTCCTGCCCCCGGCACCCTCCTCTACACCCCAGAACGCCGCCCTTGCCCCTCGGCGTCCGGCACCCCCCTCCTGCCCCCCAGAGTCTCCCTCTGCACCCCGGCACCCCCTTTTACCCCTCGGAGCCCCCTCCTGTTCTACGGCACCCCGACACCCCCTTCTGCCCCCAGGAATCTCCTTCAGCATCCCGGCTTGGTCCCTCTGCACCCCTCCTCCTTTCCCCGGGACCCCCCACATCCTTCCTGCCCCCTGGCATTCCCCTCCTGCCCCCTGGGATCTCGGTACATCCCTTCTCCCCCTGGCATTCCCCTCCTGCCCCCGGGATCCTCAGCAGCCCCCAGACCCCCCAATTTGCCCTCCGAGCCTCCCCACAGCTCCCAGGGACAGCAGAGCCGCTCGGACCCCGCGGGTCCTGCCCTGCCCTGCCCTGCCCTGCCCTGCCCTGCCCTGCCCTGCCAAGGAGAAGTTTGGGGTGCATCGGAGCCCCCTGGCCGGTGCCTTCCCCGCGTGGCCGCGGGGGCTGCGTGGGGACAGAGCTCTCTGCCCATCCCTGTTTCCCCTCGCTCCCTCTCCACTCCGTGGAAGCTCTCCAGTCCCTGCCGGCTGGAGAGGAGGCTCGGCTCGCTGTAAGGACAGGAGTGCTCGGCGTGGCACAGAAAATCCTGCTTCAAAGCAAAAGCTCGGGCGGCTGTAGCAGTCCTCCTCTCGGGCAGATGCGTGTTCTCTCTCAGTTCATATTTATTTTATGATGAAAAAGTCCCTCCAAATGATGAGTGCTGCTTGCGTGCCGTGAATCCGAGAGCTCCCTGTGTCTGAACATAAAAATTGGTGAGAGGTTTCTTTAGAAGAGCAGTGGTGAGCATTAGGGGGAAAGACCTTAACTCTAGCAGATAATGCCTCCTAAAAATTATTTTAATGAAGATTTTTAATCAGAACTCTTGAAATCATTGACCATATTTTAAAGGCTGAACTTCAACCACAATCAACAGAAAGTGGGGGGAGAAATTTTAGTTTTTTACCCGGAAAAAGAGATGAGTGACGCAGTTTTTATTTATTTGTGAAGATGTGTTTTATTTAGACTCCTCCCTGTAGTGAGGACAAACAGTGAGGCTGGTTTACATTTGCTGAGGGTCTGGCCCACATATTCCATTCCAAATCCCACCTGCTCCATGTCCCTGCAAGAACTCCACAGTGTTAAAAACTACACACAGCTGGGGAGGGGCAAGGGTCCTGCAAGTGGCTTAGGCAGAAAATCATCTCTTTTAAGTGCTTTGTTAATGATGGGATGGTTCCTCAGCTGCCCAGCTCTTCTGGCTTCAAGGCAACTTTGCCTGGGCCTTATCTTCACACTAAATTTGGAAATCTGGGTTGGATGTCCATATGTTACTTCTGCTCCAGCTCCAGCCTGCTGCAGGGTTGGATCCTTCACCTTGGAAATCAGAGACAGCGTTGCCAGACTTGTCTGGATTCTTCCTGATGTTTTCATTTCTTTGATGCTTGCTTTGCTTTATTTAGATAAGTTCTGGTGAAATGATTCACCTGCGTGTAGAAGTATGAATGGCAGATTGAGTGCTCGGGAAGCTTGACTTCCAGAGCATTTTAAGGAGTTGATTGACTTCTATAATATGGTAGCTGGTAAAAGATTATACCTTTCAGAGCTGTGTTACCTGAACTTGATCAACATCACACAAAGGTTTAAATATTTTGAAGTGCATCTCCTGCATCGGGCTGAACACTCTGGGTGCTCGAAGCAGAATGTAAATACGAGGAGAAGAGTGGTTTGTCTTTGTCTCTGACAGCTGCTGGGGAGGAACAGGGGAGGAGGAAAGCAGGTTGGGGTCAGATATTTCTGTCTGTTCGAGGTCAGCTGGAGTGAAGTGTGACACCCAGAATAATTCTCTGTAGTGACGGCGGGTGCACCAAGGCTCAGTGTGCATCCTCTGGGAGGAGGAGAGCAGCAGCATGAGCACAGCTTGCTACAGGGGCTGGAAGGAACCTCTTGGGCTCGTATCCCACAGGCAGGGAGGGAGAATCAGTCAGAACTCCCCTGCACCTCCCCACCAGCAGGACCACACTGTAAATTGTACTTCCTTGTAAACGCTTGCCGAGCAGTGCCGTGTGTGGATGGCATCTCTCTGCTCTTTTCTCGTCCAGCTTTTAAGAAAATCCTTATGAACTCACTTAGAAAGAACATTTTGAGGGAGGCAGGGCTCACAGAATGTCTTTTGGTGGGAGGAGGCTTTACAAATTCACAGGAGAGCTGTCAGAGTGCTGTGGAAGGAAGGGCTGGCTGTGCATGTGCAGCTCCGAGCTGGAACCAGCTCCTGCTTCCAGGCACTGCCACGTCCCTTTAAAGCAAGGCACTGCTGTGATTCTGGGCTCACAATCACTCAGACAGGCGTTTCCAACAGCAGTTAAGTGGAAGTGCTTTGAAAACCAGGAGCTGAAATATTCCTATTGTACAGAAACCCTTGTAATGCTCTCAATTGAACTGATTTTTTTTTTTTTTTTTTTGGGCAATTATAGGATCTTTCAGCCTGGCCCTATAGAACTGCCTCTTGCCTTGGGGGTTGCACAGCCAGAACTTTGCTGGGCTCCAGGTAGAAGCTGGGGCTGGTTTCTGAGATTTACTCCCAGCAGTGCTGTGTGTGCTGATGCTCTCTCCTGCACTGGTGAGGACAAGTTGTTTTCATCTCATTGCCAGGCTTGTTTTCTTCTCTCAAGCACTTCTTAAGTGAAATCTAAGAAGTATTTGAGTTGTTTTCAGTCTGGGGATGAGTTAGGGAATCTTTGAGCAGGGAATATCAGCTGGTTCTTTCCAAAGCTGGGTGAGTTTTTCTGCAGCAAGCAGGGGTGACAGAATGTTCTCATTCCGTGGCCATGACCCTGCATCCCCCGCTAGAGAACACAAATAATTCACAGATGTAGCACTGCTCCACGACCCCTGCTTAGCCTCAGCATCAACCACTGCACTCTGCTGAGCTGGGAATGCACAGATTGGAACCTGGATTGAAATATCCCAAGTGCATCCCACTGGTCAGCTGAAGGCAGAGGGACACAGAGGCAGAGCTGGCCCTGGGGCACTGCTGGGAGCCCAGCTGCTCTCCTGAAAGCAGCACAGGGATTTTTCCCAGCAGCACAGGGATTTTTCCCAGCAGCACAGGGATTTTTCCCAGCAGACCAGCTCTGTGTGCTGCTAAAAAGCCTTATCTGGCCTTGCATGGAGTGTGGCTGAGGGGTGGGAAAGGGAGAAGGGAAACAGGCTCTGTGCTGTGCTTCACTTCACCCTCCTCCCACAGCATCTGTGCTGCTGCAAAGAGGGAAGATATCTGTGCTGCTCTTCTCTCAAGCCTCTTTGCATCTCCTGCTCTGTGAGTGAGAGCTGACAGCTTTTATAGATGAACATCCTTTGCCCGTGTAGAGACCAGAGTTCAATTGATCCCCTCTCTGGCTCTGAATTCCAGCAGGAACCGGAGCAGTGGCTCTGTCTGCTCCCAGATCCAAGGAGGAGCTGGTTGGTGGGAGCCCAGCCTGACTTCCAGGGGGGTTTGTGTTCCTGCAGCCCGGGGCTGGCTGAGGGGCTGCTGCAGGAGCTGCTTTCAGGTGGGAAGGGTATAAGCAGTGCCTTTCTCCAGCCCTGCTGTTTGACACGGGGATCACAGGCAGCTCCTTCAGCTCTGCTCTCTGCTGCCGAGGGCTGCTGGAGCCAAAGGATCAAACTCCATCGTCCCTAGTCCCCAGGGCGGGGAGGGAGTGCTGTGAACACTCCTGGCCACGGGGACTCCGCAGGAGGTTTTCTTTCTTGGATGCTGTTCCTGCTTTCAGCCTCTTTCCACTGATGTGTTTTTATGCTCTGCCATTTTTCACTCCACTCAGACTCACTCGGGTGCCTTTCAGCTGCTCTTTGCCCTGCTTTGAGTTGTTTAATCCTGACGCTTTCTGAGTCTCTCCTCTGAAGTGCCCTGTCCCTCTCACAGGCACAGAATACAGGTCAGACTGAACTAGAAAAAAACAAAAAAGGTGCAGCCATAAAATCCCAGAATCACAGAATGGATGGAGTTGGAAGGAGCCTTAAAGATCATCTCATTCCACCCCCTGCCACGGGCAGGGAACCTTCCACCTGTGACATCAGAGAAGTTACCCAGAGCTGCTTCTGTGTCAAACCATCCCTGCACCTGGCTGGCTTTGGGGTAACTCCTAAGCAGGGAGAACACCTGGGTCTTGTCCTTTGGCAGGGTGAATTGTCCAGAAGCAGACCCAAATCCAGGCCAGGTGTGTATCTGTGTGCCTGTACCTGCAGAAAACATTTTTCCTTTTGTTTCACTTCCATGCGCTGGGAAAGCTCCAGTCTGGAGCTCTGGTCGTGGTTTGCAGTTTGATAATTGGGGTATTTTTTGCTGTGTTTTCCTCTCTGAGTCCATTTTATGAAAAGATTAACTCTGTGGGAGCACAGAGGCTGCCTGGCCACTGCCTTCCTCTGGATGCATCTGGGCTTCTCCTTTCCCTTTGAACTTCTCCCATTACGAGAGGCCAGGCTCAGAAACCACGCTGCCTCCACCAAATCATCTCAGTGCCTCTAATTCCCATTTATTTGGCATTTTCCTGCTTGCTAATTAACTTTTTCTGTTAGTCCAACTCCGTCATAAGGTGTCGAGGGAATCCAGTGTAGCTCTGAACTTGATTCCTTTTAGTTTTAATCCCTTATATCCTTAAGTAGCAGTTGATCTCTGTGCCTTTGGAGATCAGATGCCTTTTAAAATTTCTGTTTCACATAAGATCTGGACTTTCTGGGGAAGAGGAGATCAGGGCATGTGCTGCTTGCCTTTGCACTCACGTGGGCTGGCTGTGCTTCCTCAGATCTGTGTGCACTGATGGCTGGGAGGGCTCCGATATCTCCTTCCCCAGGTGGATAAACACGGAATTCTTCCACAATAAACACTGGGCTGTGCTTCAGCTCTCTCCACAACCTCCTTTGTTGTGAGGGCCCTTCAGAGAAAGTTCAGCTTTCTTCAGTGAGCTCAAAGCCCCGTTGCTGTGCTCAGAGCAGAGGATTTGGTGTAAAACCAGACCCCCTGCCCGACCCTTGCCCAGGCACAGCCACATCAGCACCGGGTCCTGTGGCTGTGTTTGTGCCTGGGGATCACAAACAGGAGCAGGACAAAGCCGGGCCAGCAGAGCATCATTCCCACAGCTATCACACCCAGCAGGGCCTGCTGGCTTTGTTTTCTCTCCTTTCATGTGCGCTGTCCCTGTCCTGCACAGCTCCCTGCTCTCCCCAGCACCCCTGATGCCTTTCCTGGGCACATCCCTTTCCAGGGAGCCCCCCCATTGCTCTGGGAAGAGAAGCACAGCTTCTCAGGCAGGTCCTGCCCTTGCTGAGGACACTTTGTGCTCAGGGTGACATCTCTCTGCAGAGAAACATCCCTTGCAAAGGTTCATTTTAAGCTTTTAATTACCAAATCTTTACGTATCAGTTTTGTTCTCCTCGGGGCCGCTGTGTTCAGAGGAACTGGTGTCACCCACTTTGAGCTCAGCCACTGCTGGAAATTCTCTGCCCACATCACAGCAATAGCCAGGGATTATTCAGTTTGGACACTGGTGTGAGGTGTGTGAAGTGGCTGCCTTTAGAGCCAGAGCTTCCCAAGTTGTTGTTGGCATTAAGATTTCTCTGGAGACATCTGATTTTTCCTGTGTGCCCTGGGCTGGAAGTCTCTGGAATGTGGGAATGTCCCTGGAGTGTCCAGCCCTGGGCACACAGGACCTGGAATGTGGGAATGTCCAGCCCTGGGCACACAGGACCTGGAATGTGGGAATGTCCAGCCCTGGGCACACAGGACCTGGCTGGCAGCACCTTTCCAGGTGAGCTGGCTCCAGGCTGGACAAATCCATCTCCTGCAATAACTGCCTCTTTCTTTCCCAGTTAGTAACAGAGCATAGGGGACTCTTCAACCTGGCTTTTTTGGTAGGGAAATCCTGGCTGCGCTGAAGTGATTGGAATTCTGCCACCAGCTCCATCCCCGCTCTGCTTTTAGCAGCTCCAGCTCAGGCAGGCACTGCTCTCTTCACTGTGCTCTGCCAGACCCATTTGGTCATTCTCCATCCATTCCTCCCCAAATTCACAGGGACTTGGAACAGGAAATTCTGTTTTTAAGGTGTGCAGGTGAATCAGTGAAGTTTTGAGTGTGCACCACTGGAAAAGGGCAGCTCTGCCCTGTGCCCTTCCCGTGCAGCAGCCACAGACCCTCAGTCTGGTCTCATTTCCCTCAGGCCACATCCCAGCCCGCTGGAGCTGTCCCCAAAGCTCCCCTGGTCTGCAGCAGGAGGGACACCCGTGCCCACTCTCAGAACGTTAATTGGTGCTGGGAACCAATTAACACTCTGAGCACAAGGGGAAAGTGGGGCAATACCTTCCCAAAAAGGCTGTGGGGAGGACAGCAGTCCTCGTGGGAAACTCGGGGAGCAGATTCAGGTTCTGGGCTGGGTTAGAGGGGCAGGATGAGCTGCAGTGAGCTGGTCCCTCCCAGCCCTGCAGCTTCACCTTCTCCCTGGCTACAAAGCTGCATTTTGGGATCAAAATCTGTCATTTCTCCTTCCAGCACCGGGCGCCAGCTGATGGCCAGCCTTGCTGCCCCACTGCTTCCATCCACCCCCTCGATTCCTTTGGATTTACACCAAATCCTTTTGATTTTTCCATCTGAAAATTGACGTTCATCCCACTGGGTTCTTTTCAAAATCTGTGCAGAGTGCCACGAGAGCCATCCCAGGGAGCAGGACCTGGCCTGGGCTGTCCAGCCACAGGACACATCCGTGGGTTTCCCTCCCCCAGGCCAGTGCAGCCCCCTGGAGCAGCATCCCAGCTGGCACCGTGGGTTTGGGTGCGATGACGTGAGGGAAAGCTGTCACAAATCCTTGTCACAAATCCTTATCAGTAACACGCTCCAGCCAGGGAGCTTTGTGTTCCTCAGATAAGAGATGTGTCGTCACAGGAAGGTTTTGGAGTGTCTCATATCCTTGTGCAGGTGATTAGGGGGCTGGTGACATCAGTGGCACTAATTGTGCCCAAATGGCTGCACACACAGGATCCAGATATTCCAGTGAGTCTGTTCTGGAGCTCTGTGGTGGGCACTGAGCCAGCTGGTCCCAAGGCACTGTCACCAACCAAATCTGCCTCTTTTAAGTGGGACTGACCTTCCACCCCCTCAGGGCTGTATGGAAATGCTCTGGATCCCATACAGCCCGTGACTGAAATGGCTCAGAAGGAGCCAGCTCCATCCCAGCTGGGATTGCTGGTTTGTCCTGCCCCATTCCCAAAACCCCAGCTCCTCCAGCTGCCTGTGTGGGCCCCACCCTCTAGTAAAAAATGCAGCAAACCCCAGCTCAGGGAAGAACTGATGGTGTCTGCTCCAGATCAGGAGGCTGAAGGATTGATTTATTAAAACTATGCTATATTGCATTAATATACTGTTTAAAATGATGCTATACTATTCTACATACTTACTTCTTACTTACCTAACTAACTGTCACTATTGGACATGAAATGTGTGTACAGAAGTTTTGTAAATTTAAAAGAGAAAAGACCGAGTTTTATTTAAACATCTGGTATTTATAGAATTCCAAAGGTGACTGTGGCTTGGAGAATGGAATTACCACCTCTCCAACCACACTGGTTTAAAGATTAATCAATCGTTTCTCTCTACTTATAGAGAAATATGTAATCTATTCTATTTATCCATGAAATTTTTGCGGGAACTCTGGCTCTCAAATATGTAAACATCATCAGAAGGCTAAAGAAGATTTATGAGAAGTTTAAACTTTCAAAAGAACTACAAAAGAAGACTTAACACTTTTAAAAATTAGGGCAACATCTAACTAACTCAGACTCATGACTCTGCTGAGAGCCCAAGCTGGATCCATTGCTCACTGACCCGAAACAACTTCACCAGATCCAACCCAGCCATCCCTGCAGGTGAACAATCTCCACACCACATTCCACATGGCATGTGGAATGATATCCTTATCCTTTCCACATGGGGAGAACAAAGGAGCAGAGATAAAGATTGTTTTCTCTTCTCTCTGTGCAGTCCTGAGAGACAGAATCGTGTCTCTCTGTCCAGGGAACATCA